GTGTGCCTTGGCTGAGTACTTCTACTTTTACTCAAGATCTGAGTACTTCTACTTTTACACAAATACAAGATCTGAGTACTTCTACTTTTATTCAAGAACAAGATCTGAGTACTTCTACTTTTACTAAAGTACAAGATCTGAGTACTTCTACTTTTACACAAATACAAGATCTGAGTACTTCTACTTTTACTCAAGTACAAGATCTGAGTACTTCTACTTTTACACAAATACAAGATCTGAGTACTTCTACTTTTACTCAAGATCTGAGTACTTCTACTTTTACACAAATACAAGATCTGAGTACTTCTACTTTTACTCAAGAACAAGATCTGAGTACTTCTACTTTTACTCAAGATCTGAGTACTTCTACTTTTACTCAAGATCTGAGTACTTTTACTCAAGATCTGAGTACTTCTACTTTTACTGAAGTACCAGACCTGAGTACTCCAGACTGTAAGGGACTACAGTTTGTTGTTGTGCCCTGATGGTGTAATCCCAGTACTTGTAATCCATTACTCCGTGCTCCTCCTTGTTTCCTGGACTCCCCTCTGTTCACGCAGGAATCTCATTGTGAGAGGAGCCTCACTCAGGCTGGTGTTTTAGAGGAGGGTCCGCTTCTTTAGAGGACAGATCTACAGCTGACAGGAGGAGACCCTGGAGACCCTCAGAGGAGTTACAGGGAGACACAGAGATTCTCAGAGTTAGAGAAGATGGCAGCGAGCCGCTTGGTGTTTTTCTGGATCCTGGTCGTCCTGAGGACAGCAGCTGGGTTTCTGCAGGAGGAAGAGGAGGGAGAGCCGGGGTCAGGGGTCACAGAAACAGGTAAGAATCACTCGTCATGTTTTCATCAGCAACAAAACATGTTGGAGAAAAAAGTCAGGACTTTAGTCTCAGAGCAAAAGCAAAACGTGATGCAGGTATTTAAAGAGTCTGTTTTCATCAGAGAAAGAAACGTGAGATTAGAGGATCTACAGAATCTACTTTGATAACTGAACAGTCATTTCTATTGAAAATACTGAGGAAGGACATATTGAATTCAAAAAGGTTTTAATTGATGCATCATCCCTGAAAGAGCCAGAATACAAAACATCAGCGAATCAACAGAAGAAATATTAAATCATTTCTCCAAATATTTAGAGACTTGGCTGAAAGTTCAAGTTCCTCTCTAATCTGGAGTTCTGCTGCTTTGTTTTATATTCAAGTGAATATCTCTGGATCTGAGATGAACCTTTGTCAAGATTTCCTGATATTTTATAAACCAAACCAAGTTGCCGCTCTGTATTTCAAATAGATGATACTTGGTCTAGCTTCAAGTCCAGTAAAGAACTACTAAATTAAGGATTTAGCTATCTTTATAATGCATCACAGGAAGTCTTATTTTAAAAAGTAAATGTAGTTACCAGATAGATTTAGTAAAGTCCATTTTAGTAGAAGCGCTGCAGTACTTCCACGTGTTTTTAATCCCTGACATGTAGTTATTGGTACGTCAGGTCTCAAAGACAACCAGAGTGGGAAGTAGTGGAGTACAAATAGGCTGCAGGGGTGAACACACTTTTTGGGCTGGTGAGCTACTTTTGAAATGACCAGCTCACCGAGGTCTACCAACCAAAAATACAATCCAGAATTGCAAGGGTTGCTGAATAACACGTTTTATTTATACATGGGATAACTACAATAGGGCTGCAACAAACGACTCATTTGATAATCGATGAATCTATCGATTAATGAAACGATTAATGGACTATTCTGAGTATTACTGTATGCCTTGCACAATTTCTCAAACGCTCTTATTTAGCCATCAACTTTTAGATTTAGCTTGAGGTTGTTTTAGGCATGTGGAAACTAACAATGAAGACAATAAAGATGAATACTTGATTCAAAAATACATATATTATTAAATGAACTAAACACATTTTAACAAAACTAACATTGCTTTTTATTTAACTTAAATAAATAATATTTCACATCAAAAGAAACAACAATGTTTTAACAAATCGTATTAAATAATCTGATGACAGAACTGTAAACAGAATAGCTGAAACTTTAACAAAATAAATAACTCAGTTACCTCTAATCATTAACCCATGTTTGTATAATGTAGTTAACTCCGTGTGTTGCTGCTAGCATACATAACACCTGACGTGGAAACGTTACTCGTGGATGGGGGGGGGGCTACAGAGCTGCTAGAAACACAGTGGAACCCGGTGCATTCCTCCGTCTGGATGTGGAGCACTTTTGCTAAATGTTTAGACAAATTGCTCGTGTTACCGCCCTTACATGCTAAACTCTATTGGCAAGGAGCATTGTCCACCTCAAGACGGGTAACATTGAACCACACCTTGGAGCGCTTCTCTCCGCTATCTCCTCCGTGTGTTGCTGCATGTAGCAGCTGGGTCAATATCACCATACGGTGCATTTGAGACTTCCCCATTTCCAAAAAAAAAAGCTGAGATTTTCCATTGAACTTCATATTCA